GATGATCTTTAAGGTCCCTTCCAACCTAAACCATGAGATTCCACGATATTCTACTAAAATTCATGAGGCTTTTAAAAATCATCTGCTTTCAAACTTTAGGATTTCAGACTGCTTGTGAGTGTAAGGGAACAAGAGGCAGTTTTCCCATTTTTCCCTTAAATCTGCCCACAACCACCAGTGAAAACAACTCCTCTCTGACAGGACCTTTAGTAAATCTCTTTTTATTTGGCTCCCAGGAACCAAACCACAGCGAGGGAATTCCCAAGAAGCACAGGTTCCCCCTGCTGACCCTGCGCTCCGTCTCCAGCATCACCCAGCTCATGCCCTTCTTCCAGACTCTCTGCTGGGCATTTACAGCAAACAGGAGCCAGTCCCAAAATTCCCACCCTTCCCCAGCTGTCTCCATGGACTGTGTTGGAAGCAGCAGCACCCCCAAGATCTTGCAGCAGCTGGAAGACAGCGTTGAATGTGACTTCCTGGAGAACATGGAAAGTTAAGCCACGTGTTGGACACTTTGGATCGTGGTGGGAAAACAGCAAAACAAGGGAAAGCTTTGCTGCAATTCCTTTTTTTATCCCCCCCAGCTTTCAAGCTACATTTTGGGAGTGCTCTCCAGTAATCCAGGAGATGGTGTTAAAAAGCAGGAATCTCGGGTTCCTGTGGTGGTGGGAGGGGGGGAAAATGTGCAGTTTGGTGGTAATTTATCAGAGTTACTGTATTTTACTGGTGTTCTTTGGGGAGAATTAAAGGCATTTTGTAAATAAGGGGGAGAATATTTTTGACTTGGTGAAAGTAGCAACAGCCCTGGAACTCCTCCAGTAAGTATTTTAAGCTGCTTTTGGAACTGTGTTCTGAAGGCAGAGGTGAGAAAAAGCTAATCTTGCATGTCAGTGTACAATCAGTTTGCAGATAAGTCATTTCCTGAGGTTAAAGCCCTTTTAACTTGGCCTAAAGCTTACCAAATTCCAAAGAAATCACCTAAATTCCAACCAGATGGATTTTTCTAAGGCTCCTACGTTGTGCAGCCTTACCATGCCTGTAATTTCAGCTCTGTACAATAACAGCATCCTCCAGGCTTAGCAATTCCTACATAAAAATGTGCATAAAAGACAAACCTATGCTGTAACATTTTGTAATTAGCATTACTTGAGGGGTTTTTAATTTTAATGAATTGATTACAATATGATCGTTCAGTTTTTTAAATTAAAAAAAAAATGCTTTGTTCTTTCAGTGACTCAGGCCACTTTGCAACTTCTGAAATGCAACTAAATGGAGATAATTCTGTAAAAATATAAATTGCTGTATTCAGCAGCTTCATGAAAATGAAAATAATAGTCTTTTTTTTTTTTTTAGGAACACTTTTTGTACAAAAGAATGTATTTGGCTGTTCCTAGATGGGAAGACAGGTAGGGAGATCCTCACAGTGCTAAATTGAAAAGGTTTGGTGGTTTAGTGTCAGCAGGATTTATTTTTTCAAAACCCACACAACAAATGTGGGAGGCTTCTCTGCAGTGGGTTTGACCCTCAGGCAGATGAAGCTTTCACCCAGGGATTATAAACTAAAATAATGAAACATATTTTACTCTGCTAATACTGGAATGCTCTGTGAAAATCATACTAGGGTAGGTTTGTGCTAAACTTAAATGAACTCTTTGCATTTTTACAGTTAAGGAAAGTGATAGACTGAGGTGTGATATTGTGTGGTGACTAAGAATGTGAATTATTTCTAGGGATTTAATTTATTAATGATCTCTAATGCTGTTGGGATGAGCACAAGTGAAAAGCTCCCCTTTGAAGGCATTACTTGAATATTGGAGCAGGTTATTTTTTAAAATGTTTGTGTCCATTACCTACATATCCTCAGCAGTTTTTACGGATTATTTTCTTGTGACTCAGGATGATTTGGTAGTTTTACTTCCAGCTTTCTGCTGGTTGCATTCCATACTTGGATATTTCCCTTAAAACCCTGATGAGATGAGGGTGGTGAGGCCCTGGCCCAGGTTGCCCAGAGAAGCTGTGGCTGCCCCTGGATCCCTGGAAGTATCCAAGGCCAGGTTGGACAGGGCTTAGAGCAACCTGGGCTAGTGGAAGGCTCAAAGGGATCTCCAGCATATTTTATTCCTTTATTCCATAACTTTATTCCTTTTCCATATGGGACTAACTAAAGTTGTTTTACTCCTTATGCTCCCACTGTTAAGTCCACTGAAGGAGGGCTGGCCTGCTCTAACCTGGTCCTGCCAGAGCAGAATAACTTCACTGTCAATAAAATCTGGAAACCCTTTTGCCTGGAACTCAAGACCAGGAGAGAAAATGCTTTTGCTTTGCTGTGTTTTCAGTCTTTGCTTGTTTTCAGTCTAACCAAGCTCAGCTTCATCTTTCGGATACTTCGGCGACGAGACAGCAGAGCCACAGAGGGAGACTTTTAAATATCCAAAGGATTTGATTTTCCTGAAAGAAAAAGATAGTAGGTGCAACCCAGGACTTGAAATGTGGAGCATTAAGTGATGTATCCGAAATTATATATGAATGTAATTCTTCTAATAATATTAAATGTTATTTTGAAATACCTTTTCAAATGCAGTTCTTATTCTTCAAACTCTCCTCACTGCTCACTCACTGACTTTAATTTTTGTCTGGCTCTGCAAAAGCTCCCAAATCCAATCTCAGAATCACTGAGGTTGGAAAAGCCCTCCCAGCCCATCAAATCCACCCTGTGCCACATGCCCACCTTGTCCCCCAGCCCAGAGCACTGAGTGCCACGGCCAGGCCTTCCTGGGACACCTCCAGGGCTGGGCACTCCAAACCTCCCTGGGCAGCCCCTGCCAAGGCCTGACCACCTTTTCCAGGGAGAAATTCCTTTTCTTTTGGAAGGGAGAAAACTCTTCCATTCCATTGGGCTTTACTCCTCAGGCTGCAGGAGTGTGGTTCAAATGACTCCCTGAAAGCTGCTTTTCAGATTTCACCCTTTCCCTCATAGCCTGTAAACCTTTTGGGATGTTGGGTGAGATACTGCAGAAGCCCAGGAGACGAGGGGCTGATGTGTCTGTGCCAAACACCGATAGCCACAGAGCCATCCAAGGACTGTTGGGAATAAGACACTGTGAGAAAGAACAGGATGTGGCTGGAGAAGAGGCCATATGGAGGTAGGACAGCACTGTCTGAGACAGATGTCCTTGTTCTGGCTGCTGGAGATAAGCACAACACAGCACAGTGTGGGGCACAGGGAAGAGGTTGGGAAGTGGATATGGACTGCCAACCAAAATTCCCAAAATGCCCAGCTACTTGGGCCAAATCACAGAATTGTCAGGGTTGGAAAAGACCTTTAAGAAGGTCAAGTCCAACCATCAAACAGCACCACTACCTTGAATAAACCACGTCCTCAAGTGCCACAGTCGCTTCCACGGATGGTGATACCACCACCTCCCTGGGCAGCCCCTGCCAAGGCCTGACCACCCTTTCCAGCAGGAAATTCTTCCTCCTGTCCAACCTGAGCCTCCCCTGGCACAGCTGGAGGCCGTTCCCTCTCCTCCTGTCCCTTGTTCCCTGGCAGCAGAGCCCGACCCCCCCCCGGCTCCCCCCTC